TTGGGCGCCCCCCCCCCCCCCACCCCCCTTTTCCCCTGTCACGGCGTCTTCATTTTCCAACCTTTCAACAACAAATTAGGTCTCGCAAGTATTGGGCGCATCAAGCTAGATATTGACGACCATCGAGACCTGTGTCGAAGAAATATTTTCGGGGCGCAAGGGTCATCGGCATTGATAGTACTACTAACTACCATCAAGTCGAAAATCCATCAATCGCAGTTGATATAGGGTAGGCATCGAAGGTCGTGCAGCTAGGAGCCACCGCAGCCCTGCATTGAGTCACCTCGTCTCTGAGTGGGATGGGGCGGGCAAAGTTCAAGGTCCTCTCACCCCACGCTCAAGCTCTATTCATCCTCCAACTTTTCCATCTCGTCGCTCCGGTCATGTCGCACAAGGGCAAGAACAGCGCGGCCAAGGGCAAGAAGCCTGCCAAGTCTGGCGCCGAGAGCAAAGGCGAGGATGTCTTGCAAGCAGTCGTACGTGGGATGGCAGGGCTCATTTGTCAAATGATGGGTTGAAGTTCGAGGCTAACATGGTGTTCTACCCAGATTCTTGCCGACTCGTTTCAGGACAGATTCAGGCCCTTTACGATAGACAAGCCAAGAGTAAGTTGGAACGAATGGGTGATTGGGAATGCCCAGAAAGAAATGCCCGCACCTTACTCCGTACCTAGCTAACCAATGGACGTGGTGGTAGTGTCTGTTACCACTGGGGAACACGCCAATCATCGAGTATACTCTGGAGTTTCTGGCCATGAACGGTGTCAACGAAGTGTACATTTACTGCGGCGCCTTCACAGACCAAGTCGAAGATTACATCTGCCGGTCAAGATGGGCTGCTACGTCGAGATCATGCCCCTTCTCTGTCGTCCAGTTCGTGCGTTTGTCAGATGCGAGGTCGGTTGGTGACGTATTACGAGATTTGGATAAGCGATCCCTTGTCGACGGTGACTTCCTACTGGTTCATGGAGACTTGGTATCAAATTTCATGCTGGATGGAGTTCTGGCAGCACACCGTAAACGAAGAGAGACCAGCGCCGCCAATATTATGACGGTTGTCCTGCGTAGTGGTGGCGACGAGGACCACCGTACCAAGACAAATGGAATCACGCCGATATTTGCAGTTGATGCCAAGAACCAGCGATGTCTGCAGTACGACGAAATGACCCCATTGCAAAGCGACCACTATTTGGCACTTGACCCAGCCATCCCCGACGAATTGTCCACCGAGTATGAAGTTCGGTCCGACCTCATCGACGCGCATATTGATATTTGCACTCCAGAGGTATTGGCGCTGTGGTCAGAGAGTTTCGACTACGAGCTTCTCCGTAGAAACTTCCTTCACGGCGTTTTGAAAGATTGGGAGTTGAACGGCAAGATGATTTACGCAGAGATTTTGGAGGATGGGTACGCGGCCCGTGCAAGCAACCTTCAGATGTACGATGCCATCAGCCGTGACATTCTGGGACGATGGACCTTCCCATTCATTCCCGAGAATAATCTTGTGCCGAAACAGACGTACCAGCGCCATGCAAACGGACTCGTGATGGAGCACAACGTTTCTCATGCACACGATGCCCGCATGGCCAACGCCGTCATTGGCAGGGACACCACCATTGGACCGGGGTCCAAAATCTCCAACTGCTTTACCGGCACAGGCTGCAAGATTGGTGCGAATGTGGTACTGGAGGACTCGACAGTCTGGGATAACACCACAATTGCGGATGGAACGAGAATATCACGCTCTATTATTGGCGACTGGGTAGTCATTGGCAAGAGCTGCACATTACCTCCTGGTTGCCTGGTGGGCTCTAGAGTTCAGATTGATGACAATATTGTGCTGAGCAAGGGCAGCGTCTTGTCAGCTCTGACACTTTCTGGAGAGCCGATTTCCAGAGACACAAAGCTTCTCGGTGCCAGCACAAATGCCGCTGCCTTTGCTGACCTCGACGAAGTCGATTTGGACGAGCGGGACGCCTCGCGTCTACAAAGGTCTCTCATCTACTCACTTGCCGATTTCAATATTTCAACGTCGTCAATTTCCACACTGGCCTCTGATCTGGACTCGGACGCTGACGAGGACGACCACTTCTTGTCCCCCGGGGCCGCCTCCTCATCGCGGTCGCGACTCTCGTCGTTTGCCTCGGACGACTCCACCGGCAAGCTGTCGTTCCATGCTGACGCGGTGCACGGCCTTTTGGACGCACTCCGTGGCGAGACCAAGGATTTCGACGGCGCGAAGCTCGAGTTCATGGGGCTGCGTCTTGCCAACGACGCCTCCGACGCCATGGTGCGAAAGGCCGTGGCCACGGCCTTTGCTCGCCGAGCCGCCGAGCTTCTGACTCTGGAGCACGGCTCCCTAGAACCCACCAAGGCGGCGGAGAAGGCATTGACATCGAACAAGGGCGCGACGGCCTTCATCGACGAAGTTGGCGTCGGCGGCGAGGAAGCAGAACAGGTCGAGTACATTCTCGCGACGCAAAAGGCGCTCCGGCAGATCAAGAATCCCGAGCAAGCCAAGTTGAGTACTCTGTTGGCGGCAATGCTTCAGCAGCTGTATACTCTGGATATCCTGGAGGAAGATGGTATTCTTGGTTGGTGGGAAGACGAGAGGGCAGCCGAGGGCGACGGAGTGGCTGCGCTGAAGGAGAATTGCAAGGTCTTGATTGAATGGTTGGAGAACGCCGAGGAAGAAGACGACGACGAAGACGAAGAGGGCAGTGACGACGAGTAAGTAGACGTCTGTGCATTTCGGAAAATATTTGCGACCCCCAAAATCCTATGCAGATGACACGGGTTTGTCTAAAGGTCAATGGCGCATAAATCTGGGCAATATATCCTGCGAAGGCGTTTTGCAGTAATACGCATTGTCAAAGCGGTCTAATCACTTGCCCTGAGCACCTCTTGCGGATGAAGACAGTACGTCACTACGTCCCTTTAGCAACCATAGACGCATTTACTACTCTAAAAAAATTGTAATGCGGAAGCAAACTATCGTAAACTGGCGTATTTCACACCTGTGACTCTTTCCTGTATATCCCCTGATCCCGCGATATGCTCTTTCATCAGAGGCCGATGGTATCGAAGCACTCCTTGACGCCTGAGGAAAAAAAAAACAAAAGTTTAGTCCATCCCTTTCCCTTGGCCGCTATATATGAAATCCGAATAAAACATGCTTTCCGTTCCCTCACTAGTAGTAGCTTTGCAGGTCGGTGTTGTTCGCAGCCTGCCCTCCGCCCATGGGACGTCCGCTGCCTCGACCACCTCCACGGCCGCCCCCTCGACCTTGATACGATCCTCCGCGGCCAAGGGAAGCTTTCGGACCTGTTGGCAGAGCTTGAGATTGCTGCTGGTTCAGACGTGGGTAGGCGTCGTCGTAGCTAACTGGTTGGCCATATCCGGGCTGCTGATTCTTAGGCTCGACATCGTCCAGGGATCGGTAGTGATAACCAGCACCTCTGCCTCTCCCACCACCCCTGCCTGCTCCTCTGGCACCGCCGCGGAAGCCTCGAGAGGGATTAGCTCTCCCACGACCTCCCCCTCGGCTACCTGAATGGAAACCCCTTGATTCATTACGACCACCGTATTGTCCGTGTGTGCTGTTAGCAACCCAGCCGTCATCGCCAACGCGTTTTCTCTTGGAATGCTTGCTTGCAAATAAACTCTCGTACTCGTCCTTTCTGGGGTCTTCTTCCTCGACACGCAGAATGACCTTTTCGCCTACTGTGGTTTCGAAAACAAAAGATTGTCCAGCTGCCAACGGCTGCCAGTGCTCAATCCTGCCGGCATCCACGGGTCGCGCGCCCTTCCTGAGGGCTAGAACCACTAATGGCACAGGATTGTCTGTATGATATGCTGCTGTGGATGGCACAGGTCGCACACAGGCCGCCCAGATGCTGTTATCGTAACATGCCGTGCCTGTCACCTCCCACAACATCTTCCTCCCCATGCCGCCGACTTTCTCGAGGATGCTTGCGGGGCAGGGCCGTGGACAAATCAGGATATTGTTGGCATGTATCTTGAGTTCGTTGCCGGCTAGTCCTGATGGTAATTGGACAAGCTTCATAAGCCTCTTGCTATCCTCGGAATTTATCATGTAGCTGGTGAAGAACACGGTCTTCTTGATCTGCAGTCTGTTTGGTCGCAGGTGCATCGGTTGCCGCGTAATAGAATTGTTGTGCACATTGATCATGTGTTGCACTTCGGCAACCTCCATGACTGGATCCAGCGTGGTTGAAGTGTCGGCTACTTGGATAACTTCGGCGTCGATAGGGCCACGGGTCGGGGAGGCGGTCTGCCGACGGTTGTACTCGCTGAAAAACTCGCGGAACCCATTCGTGTGCTTTGGCCGGTCCTCGTATACTCTGATTTCAGTAGCCCCCTTGTAAGTCTCCATGAGTGCATGGAGAAACAGCTGCTTGAAGTGCATGGTATTTTGAAATCGCTGATTCGTCGGGCTGACTTGCGGCTTGAGACAAACAATGTCAAAGTCAAGACTCTTGGCGGCAACCATTTTTTTGACCAGCTCGCTGAATCCCTTCTCGGAGCGACCAGTCAACAACACGCACAGAGCGTCGGGCTGCTTAATGGTCAGTTGAACAAGTTGCACGATTTTTTCATTCCACCATCCGTCCCATGCCCGAGGCTCTTCTTTCTCCAAACCCTCGCCCGTTGCAGCGAGAATACGGTTATCGTGCCACCATCCGCCGTTGGTGAAGGCTTCCTGGGTAGCTAGGAGTCCTATTGTCGGACCAGCCCAAAGAGCTGGGTTGGGCAGCGGCGTTTTGAATACTGGAGGCGGATGATTAGCATGGCCAGCTTTGCGCCAGACGGCGGAGGCGGACCGTACAAGGGGGCGCACATACACGTATTATCGAAGTCGTAAACGTGGAGGGCCTTGATTCTGTCGGCGGCTGGTCTATGGTCAGTGAAACTCTCGCTCCGTCACATCAAGCTCGCGATGCAACCGGGAAGCTTACGAGGTAACGTTTTGTTCAGACAGGACCATCGACCCATGGCAGTAATGGTGTAAGGGGAACCGTTGGAAGCGCCATGGTACACGCTGTACGCCGATGTCATGGCGCTTGACGGAGGACTGATGGGATGGCGTTGGGCCTCGTTTACACAGGAGCGGAAGAGACAAGCAGATGGTGTCGATGTTGCAAAAGTCGATTGCCCACCGGACGGACAGGGATGCGGCGACGGCCTGACGCAGCTTGGGAACAGGGAAGGCGGGCCACAGCCAGACAGGGCCAACGGGGGTAGTAGCTTCGGGGGTGCCGCTGGGGCTGCCGCCGCTGAGGAGTGCGCTGTCAGGCCGGCAAGACCCCGCTGGGACGCCAACCACGAGTGATGATGTCGCGGCACTGGAGGGGCCCCATCTAGATGCTTGAGCCACAACCTCGGTCGTTGCACCGCACAACGCAGGCCAGGTTGACGGACCAGGCCGAGCTCAAACATTTCATTCAGTTGATTCTTTGTTCAGGAGCAAAGGATGACCGGACGATGCGGCAGCATGGGCAGAGCGCAGGACGGAGGACGCAGGACCAGATGGCAGAGCCTCATGAGAGGCTCGGCCGTTGGAGAGGAAGGAGCAGAAATCCAGCAGCCCGACGAAGTTGGCCTTGGCGCGCTTTATCACACACGCTGCCCCGTATCCTCCGCATCTGGGCCAAAAATTGGAGTCTAACTCTCTCTTCCATGTCACAATCTACTGACCCCTCACCAATCGACCCGACAGACGCCACAACTCCTGCGGCCCTGTTTGTCGGCCACACTCATATTCGGATCGGAGAACCAAGTACCAACGAGGGACTGGCGGGAGGCTGACCCGGCACACGCATGCCCCTTTGAGCTTGTCGTTTCTGCTCTGCTACATCTAGGGACAAAGCTTTCTCCAATGGCCTCGCCACTTGCTGCCAGATTCATAGCCAGCAAATCGGGTTCGCTCTCTGTCGGATTCGTTCAGCTCCAACTCCGTGTCAAGGCAGGAACAAGTAAAGACCGCGAGGGAATATTGGCGGTTACAGACAGAGCGATTGAACTGTGCGTGACTGCGCAGCCCAGACATGGCGAGGCCAACAAGGCTGTTGTCCAAGCTCTCAGCAATGCTATAGGCATACCCAAATCGCGGTTCCGGTTTGTCAGTGGACTCAAGTCCAGAGACAAGGTCGTGGCCATTGGCGATATTCAAGGAGACGGGCCAGACTATACCGAGACGGTTCTACGCTTGCTCCGCGAAGCGAGCTATCGAACTCTTACTCCCTAGGTCTCACTCTAGGTCTCACTCTAGTTCTCACTCTCTCCGCCACCACCAACACGCTAGAGCAACTCGTGCGCCGGTTGACTCAACTGGCCGCGACGTTTGGCAAGCTGGTAAACAGTCTGTTTTGGGAGCATTTATAAAACGGCCGCCTGGAATCAACCTCGAAAGGAAGAGCTGCGATCCCCATTCACAGACAGAAGGCACCACCGGGGGTCAGTTCAATTGCGATCGCATTCTCGCCATGTCCAAACCAAGATACACCCTAGCAGCGGTCCGTTTGGACGATGTACCAGAGATTGGCCAACTCACTGCGGATGCCTTTGTTGATGACCGCCAGACTCAAATGAAGAAGCTCGGCAAGGAGCCTTACGACATGAACAAGATGACATTGGAAAGCCTGCCAAGTATGCTGCACAACCCGCGCTGTATTGCCATCAAAGTCGTCGACAAGGACAGCGGAGACATCATGGGTGTGTGCAACTGGGGTTTTCGAGGGTTCAAGCCTGAGGAGGTGCCAAAGATGGAGGGCAAACCACTACCTTTGGAGAAGCCTGAAGAGACAAAGGCAGACTCGGAAGACAAGAAAGAACAATATGCCATTGACGGGGATGGAAAGGAAAGGCTTGACAAGGAGGAGGAAACAGACCCCATAACACGACTACAAGCTCGGACGGGGGCTGATTTGGAGGCATGGATGGAAGAGGTGATGCCAGAAGGAACGAGATGTCTTTTCGTCATTGGCCTTTCGATTTCCCCCAAGTACCAAGGCCGCGGCGTCGGCTCTGCGCTGTTGCGCTGGGGGACTGACATTTGCGATGATCAAGGCATCTTTGCGTGGGTTCACTCCTCAGAGCCCGCCTGGCCGATGTATGAGAAGTGCGGGTTTCAAACCGTACGCTCTCTGGACATTGACTTGGATGAATACGCACCCGCGCCTCCGCCCAACGAGGGACCTGATGCGAAATGGGGGCATTACGTTTTCCGATACATGAAGTACTTTGGAAACAAAGGGGAAGCTTGAGCCTCGGGCTCCTTTCGTACGAGGACGATGACTTTGGGATAAATAGCATGATACCAGTTGAATAGAGAAGCTGTCTCAGTTGCCTGGACTGTCATATGCCCTGGAAGAGCCTGTTTATCTGCGCCTGGTTGCACTGGTCTTTTTTTTACAACGGGTGTGTTGCGCCTGTCCGCAGCTTGAGAGCTCACGAGAGCCATCCTATGGTCCTTGAGCCCCTGAAACTGCTTCGGCCTGTTTACTCAAGTACCTAGGTAACTTTCCTCGGTACGGAGTAGTTTCGCACAGACTTTCTAGTGCCAAAATTGAATTTTGGTTCGGCCCCCGCCGCTCGTGAGTGGCGGCAGCACTACCTGTTTATGTATGCCCTCAATTCCGTCGTGGGTCAGATCGTATCCCCTTTTAAACAACATTGGCTCCTCCGTTCCCATCCAATTGCGAACACGCCCCGTTGGCTCAGTGGTAAAGCGTGTCACTAGTAATGACAAGATCACTGGTTCGATTCCAGTACGGGGCAAGCAATCTCATTTCTCTTTTTTGCTTCGTTTTCCAATTGACGTGGATTTACTTGAGCTCATGGAAGGCATATGTCAAGCAGCCACACGGGCGGCTTGTGTGCCCTGGCTCCATAATTTTTTTTTTCCTCTGCTTCCTTCCGTTGCCTCACTGGGAGTCCACTGGGAAGGAACGGCTGCCCAGACGGGCAGTTTCTAAACCGGGAACGAAAGTGTCGGCTCTGTTGCATGATAAAACGGCACGACGATTACAAATTCATGTCAAGAGCGGCGTGACGAAAATTTAGAGTATATGCTTTAGATGTGTCTTTACTGAGCTATTTGCACCCGTTTCCCCCCTGGTCGCCGCGACAAAAGATACAGAGCCGGACGTCATCTGTAGTACGTGGCATACTTGGACTTGCCCTGCACAACGTCGATGAAGGTGGTGGAGAAGATCTGCTGCATGCGCTCCGAAGGATGCAGCTCGTCAAACCTGCGTTACTGTTATTCATCTTGTTGGACCACCAGCATGGTCTTGTTCATCACAGAGGGAAATGGGGGCAGGGTGATGGTGCATGGGTTTCCATCTCACCGCGCCAGACACCACGTACCACATGAAGCTGGACCGGGGGTATTTCGAATCGACACAGCCGTCGAGGCAGGTGCGGAAGGGGGCGACCACGTCGGCCGGGGCATCGAGGTACTCCCCGGGGCTGTCGACGACGTCCATGATGAGCGAGTGCATGTCGAGGACGGAAAGGGACGCGCCCGGCCAGCGGCGCCTGACGAGCAGGTGGAAGGGGCCGCCGTAGTCGTACATGGTGTTGACGCTGGTGGTGTACTCGCGCATCTTGCTGGCGTACTCGGTCGCGTTGTAGGCCGTCTTGTTGGCCCAGAACTGGTGGTTTCCGAGGCCGCCGGACCCGGGGGTGGCGTACATGGGCGCCCGCTCCAGAGGCGCCTGGTTCAGCAGGACCAGCTGCCGCCCGCCGGCGCGGTGGATGCGGTCGAGCACGCTCCAGACGCAGTCGGCGTAGGTGCTGACGGTCGTGCCGGCCTTTTGCTTGTCTGCCAGGATGCCGTCGACGCCCAGGTCGTTTGTGCCGACCCAGAGGGCGTAGACGGTGTTGTCGGGCCTCCTGCTGGGGTACAGGCCGGGGTAGCCAATGTCGTGCTCAAAGGCCGGGATCTCGTACTCGAGCACCGAGGGGAAGGGCCCGTTGATGGCGTCCAGGTCGCGCGAGTCGACGTTGTTGGTGCACATGGCCCCCGCGACGGCGTAGTTGTAGTAGTTTGCCCCCGTGGCGTTGGCGACGAGCCGCCCCCATGCGTAGCCGCCGCTCCAGGTGTCGTTGCTCGGGGGCAGCACTTGTCCAGCCGGCGGCGCCTCGTGGTGCTGCACGAAGTAGTGGAAGCGGCTTTCGTCGGTGTAGCTGTCGCCAAAGCTGACGAGGTTCTCCATCTTGTTGGTGCCGCCGGTGCCGACGTGGAGCGACGTTGGGCTGGAAATGGCCCGGAGAGCCATGGCCAACAGGCTGAGAAGCATGGTTACCATGACGGGAAGGAATGCGGGTTACTCGTGGGAGCAACAATTTTTCTCTCTTTAACCAGGTCGATCAGTACTGTTTCCAAAGCCAAGGGGCCAGGGCTGTGAGTATTTCCACGAGCGAGAAAAGTGTTTCATCGGCCGTTCAAACACTTCGAGGCCTGCGGTCATCTACTTATAAAACACGGAACGGGATCTAGGCAAGAAAAAAAACCGCACACCCTCTTCAGTCGCTCCATCGCCGAAAAGGCGGTAGAGGGAGTGACATTTCTCAGCATCATGTCCCCCATCTCCTCCATTGTTGCTGCAGACATCACGAGCCCATCCATGTCTGACGCATTGACGCATCGGCCCGGTAATTGCGCCTGCGGGGGCAAATGGGAACGACCTCGGTGGAGGGTGGCCGGCAGTTGGTCGGCCAGATCGGGATCCGGGTGTCCATCAGTTGGTGCTGATGCGAGCGAATCACGGCCGCAGCGGGTCGAGGACGAAAATTCATGCCGCGTGTGTCTACGGATTCGTCAAGTGAGGGGGGTGGACACGGACAGGACATGCAAGCGTGGGCCGCGGAGGAATCGACATTTGTCGGATGGGCGAACGGGACGGGCCTCTTTTTTTTTTTTTTTGTCCTGTCCTCCGTTGGGTCCCCCGCGGCATAATACGGTGAATTCGTAGTTTCGTACGACGGCTATGAGAGTGGACTTGAGAATGAGGGGCTGGCGTCCATGGGCTTTGACGTGGCCGGCAGGTGATGAGATTGACTCGCATATTACAGTTGCATAATAGGGCATATGATTACAAAATGCACCGAGTCAACATCTTGCATCATTATTGGAGCAGCTCCGCTGCAGGTGTTTATTCTTTAGTATTTTACATCGTACGGCGGGCGCAAGCTATAATTTGTATCATCTGTGAGATTACTAATATAAACTGGTTTCATTTTCAATAATTTACGTATACTAGTAGACTCGAAGCGGAATTTATCTTGGGCATAATTATATCGCTACAAACTTCAGTTCGACAACTGCAACGTTCCGTCGCCTTGCTGGACCCTTTGCTGTTGCAGTGATGGACCTTTTAAACGTGTTGCAGACACTCGCATGGACACTATGATGGGTTTTGGTATGGTGATTGAACAGCGAGGTGTTGATTACATTCAAGAAGGGAAAAAAAACTTGCGACTGCCAGTTCAACATGTCCAACATAGTCACTACCCTCATCACTTCTTGCATTGGTCAAGAAACGCCCAAAAGCTCGACCAGGGCCGATACCAATACTGTATGTTGAATGTGGCAGACATAAAAGCACCTACTCTTATACGACTAACCCGATGGTGCCATGGCATCCGTGCCGTGTCGGGAACCTGTAGTTAGACGTTGGCTTCTTCTTGCTCGGTTCGTGAGCGGCCCATGCACGACTTGAGCATGGCAACGCTGGCGTAACCGGTATTTAGCTCAAACCTTGCTTGCTGGAGCGGGCAACTGGGATTGAATGGGTGTACGAGGGCCAGGAATTGGCAGCAAGGCCCATGAACGGTAATTGTAGCATGTGTGATGCGCACAAGATGTCTCATCTTCTCTTCTCGTCTCTTGAAGTGACCTCGCGATGCACTTTGCCGAGTTGCTGATGATGGAGCGATTGGCTCGTCTGTTTTCGATGCGGAAACCATATACCGGTGTTTTTTGCGACGACACCTGCAGAACAGGGGATTGATTAAGTGTCTGGTGTCTTATTTAAGTGTGCCTTTGACTAAGCCGTCATCTCTCGCAGCAACAGCACCGGTGGCGGCGAGACTGGTACACGCAGCTTGGCGGCATAAGCGGCATCTAAGCTTGATGACTGGCAACAGGCATTCCACAACCTTATCTATATGCATATGCGAAATCTTGGCTGCCTTGGGAAAGCAATACCAAAGGTAGGAAAAGGTAATCGCTTGGCCTGAGGAAACGGCAAGTCATGGGAGCCATGCCCACATGCCCAGACTGTGTGTCGGGCTGTACGAGTTGGACGAGAGCAATGGCCAACGCTGGGCGAACCTTGAAGACCATAGCATGCGCGGTGACGCTCATCCACCTCCAAACAAGCCAAGAGCAGAGCAGGACATCCGGAGGCTTCAGACAACTGCTAGTCCAGGGTCCACCACCACCACCCACATGGCGCCAGCACGCCAGATCCAAAAACTTCTCATCACATCACTTGCGGGGCTTAGCACTCGGCCTCGGTGCCGTTGCTCATCCTGCATCTTGTCATCGAGAGGCTTAGCTGTTACATGGGCATACTCCGTGCCCCGCCATGGTCCCTGGAGGCATGTTTGGTCTCCCGAGTCAGGCTTATAAAAAGCCCAGCAGCTCCCGTTGTCCCTCCCTGTCCCATCCTTTCTCAACATTTTACGCATACCAAGCTTTCCTTTCCGTACATCCACGCTACGCTTGTCCCATCTCAGCAACAATGGGTTGGTTTGATAGTAAGCATCTTCAACTCCTCTGCAGTGCCACGGGCATCCTGTCGTCGAACACAAAGCTAACAGTGCCCGAGACGACTCCGATCAGGCTCAGGCCTACGACCAGGTGACGAACCGTCCCCACGAAGCCAAGTGGTCTCACGAGCTCATCGGCGGTGCCGCCGCCTACGAGGCCGCCAAGGCGTATGAGGACCATGTTGCCCGTAACGGTATGTCCAGAACAGTCGGCATGCATCTGACCACACGTCGACCCGCGTGGATAATGCTAAGGCTCGAGCTCGACAGGCCACCCCGACGATCACGCCAAGGCCAAGGAGATCCTTGCCGGTGCCATTGGCTTCTTCGTTGACCGCGAGGTCGAGACCAAGGGTCTGGACTACATTGATCGTGAGAAGGCCAAGCGCCATGCCCAGCAGCAGGCCGAGCAGGGACTCAGCACCGAGGGTCGATGGTAATGGTTACTTTCCAAGCGATGAGGGACGAGGGCTATACAATGCACAGTGTATATACACGATTAGTCGACCTGCGTGTACAACTGTAGTCAATGCACTTTACCTTGTTCATGTGATGGTGAGACAGCCGCACCGGGACGAGCCACCACAGCTCCTGGCCAACCCCGTGCGACCCCGCGATGACGGTATTGGTCTTCAGCTCGTACGTGAGACGCACAAATGTCACGCATTCCAGGGAACCGTCTCAGAGGGCGGGTCCCTTGGTATCGGCGGCGCCATCTGCGTTCTGAGAGACCTTCTAGGTTTAGCAGTGACGCCTTAGCACAGCGACTGGCGTTGGAGAGCATGACAGAGTGCTGAAGATTTGAGGTGCGGTTGGTTCGTCGGGAAGGCGATGCCGAGAGGTGAATTTTGAGTGGTTGAAGTGGCTGCGCGGGCAGGGTGCAGGCGGGGTCTGCGGAGCTGCCTGCAGCCGCTCTGGTAGGCTGGTGCTGTGCATCTGGAGGCGGTAACTGAGATGGACCCCCGTTGCCCCTGCCGCACTTCCGATAATAGTGGGGCCCTGGAGCTGTGGCAGTGTGAGGTTGAAACTTGAGGCAGGAGCCAGCTGAATTAATGCCAGCGGTGCCTGCATCGGTCACCCCAATGACCCGCGCCCAAGTATCACTGTGTGCTTTTTAACAACCCTCTCATAGACCGTACTCCGTGTTCCATCTGTAGATGCAGGTATATACCACGATGAGCCAAGTGTAGAGAGCGTGGGGAATGCATCAGTGACATTCCTACTTGGGCGACAGGTTGTAATGGCCAAGATTATGTGAAAAAGCAGGCTGTTTTGATGATGAAAAGTAATACTCAGTTCTCGGTGGCTGTGGTGGCTGATGAGGGCGTTGGCGATGCAAAGAGATTGCTTAGAAACGGTCAAGAGGTAGATGTGAGAAAATGGAGAACAGACCCAGGTTACAATAACGGGTCGACCAGCATTACCAACATTTCACGGAACACTGCAAGAAATTCAGGTTTCATCTTGTATTTGACGCCTTTATCCTTCATGCCCCCTGCATTACACCCAATCGTCTTGACGCAGTGAAATGTGTGATGAATGTCTGGCAACCAAGAGTCAATCTTTCTCCTCCCTTGCTTCATAGACAGGTCAAGTCGTTCACGTCCTCGAACAGCCCTGGTACTTGGACTTGTTGCCGTGTAGGCCTCCCGTGACAAAACGGTTTTGTATTTGACGCCTGTGTGTGCTGCAGCCGCATGGGCATATTGTAACGGTTTCGCTTCTTGAGATGCTCAGGGTTGCAACTTGCAGTGTACTTCGTTACGGATGTAATCTCTCCCGATGTCTTGATGGAGTAGATGCACGTATAAGCGGAGAAAGGTAACAAAGTTGGCCAAAAATGACGGAATATGAAACGGGACCCTCGCACGCTGTACATGGCAGTAGATGATTGTGAATATGACTCTACTTCAGGCCCATGTCTCGTCATTTTGTTTCTACCCTCCGCATTGAAGCAGAAACACGCAGTTGTCAATATAACCACTCTGAAATGAAACGAACGCGACTGCTCGGGTTTGTCACCGAATATGGCACAACTGAGGCCTCAACTTGGTCTGCCAACCAACTACACCACTTGGACAACACGTGAGGCGGCCACAGTCATGTAACTAGTTGAGTGGTTGGTGCGCGGAGTGTACTGCTCTGTGTCGTAAAGAATCTGGGCCAAGTTGGGATATTGTACTGCCCAATCAACAATCAAGATGGCTGGCGGAATACGCTTTGGCTTTCAACATGTCATGATGGATTCTTCCACGTCAAACGCACGGCAGTTCACCCGGAGCACTATCGCTTAGCTGAACTGAAGTATTGCTACGAGTACAACTAGGTGTGTAGGGGCAGTTTATTCAGCGGCAACAGAATTCAGTTGCTCATGATGATCATTGGAAAAGAGTAGATGCGAACTTCAGGATTGTGGTGAACAGGCACCACCATCGGTGTTAAACGGTAGCTTATCCAGCCTGTCCTTGCATTGTAAAAGAAAATGCTTACATCTACCATAGTTGAAATAAGAAGGATGAAGATTTCTTTTCGTCCGCCAACCTCATTTACCTGCCCCTTCTTATAAACGCGGGCTGGTAACTGTACTTTCCTCCCAAAGCATATCCGACTGCATACTTTTTGTCATTTCAGTTGTAGTCGGCGGCAGAATATATTTGCCCATTACTTATTAATACCAATATCCTATAGTGTGTTATAGTATAGGATGCGATAACCAGGTACCTGGTCTGGTCAAATACTTATTGCCTCTCGCCACAGAAGGGGCCAACGTGAGATTCATCCCAACTACGAATGATACCATTGACCATCAAGCGGGGACACAAGATTCATACAACTGATTCTGACACTCTATCTCTTGCTGTGCCCACATGCCAAGAACATGCAGACAAACCACGGCCTCAAATTTCCTCCTTCTTCCCACCGTCTACTGCGTGCTTCTCAGCAGCCCTCACTTTGCGGATAAACTTCTTGTATCGATTGTGCACGTGGGTTTCGTGGCACGCGATGATGAACAAGGCAATGTGAACGAACCTGGCGCTGTTAGCTGAAATTGCCTTGATTCCAACGGGTGCCGGCAGCACCAACGCTTCAATAGTTGCCAGAACAACAGCCATCTGGACCAACACAAACTTGACGCCGTCGTAGTGCGTTTCGGCCATGTTGGTGTCCCATGTCGACCATGTCGCGGCCATCATGACGGCGACGGCTCCGAACCCCAGCCAAACGATGAGGTCGACGCCGACGCGGGTCCCCGGGTGAATGTCTTGGCCATTTCTGCGAAGATGTCGAACCATAATCACGGCCACATTCCAGATGAGAGTTACACCGGCCTGCCTACCGTCAGAAGAACGTTTCGCTGGACGACGGCCAGTTTGGGAAGGGGGAGGGATACTTGCGGGTGAAAGTAAAATGATAATGACTCCTGGGACATCTCCGAGCTTGATTCCCACCCCGATGAGGATCGTGCAGATGGCGGCGGATAGAAAACGGATCCAAAGCTTGACTGTCTGTAATCCTTCTGGCGTCGTGCGCAGCGTGTAGGCTGGGGGAGGGACAGGCTGAGACTTTTCCATCATGTTGATGTCTGCCTCTATTTTGTTCGCCATGGGTAAAAGTGCAGACGGAAAAGAAATTCGATTCAGCTATGTCGGCGCCTGGACTGTTGGGGTAACGAATCGCGACAAAGTTACTTATATATATAATATATATAATATATATAAATGTATCTCGTGTCAATCAAGTTGCGTGGATTCAGAGGCACCACAAGCGTCTCACTCTTGCCGCCTTGGTCCCCCGTAAACAGCCCTAGCTAGTTGGCTGGCTGGCTAGGGAAATGTCTCGGTGTGGATCAAGTGAGTAGAATGGCAGTGCCGTGCCTTCTTTCTCTGTTGTTGCGTTGTCAAGTGAGTTTATTTCTGTAAGTGATGCGCCACGCGGAGGGGGCCGCAATGACAAAGGCATGAATGATTAAGGTTAGTTGACCGGCATTTTCTCCTGGTAGGATCTAACATGGCTGGATTGAGTATCAGATTACGCGGCTTTCCGAGCGCATTAGACTTGTAAACACGAGGGTGGAGTTGCCGTGTTCCCACCGAGTTATCATCAATTGGCCGAGTCGATGCTTTGGGAACGGCCGAAACTGAGCCAGCAAGGATTACTGACGTGGTTGGAACCCGTCCTTGGGTCCCCAAAAGAGGCGCTTGCAGACCGACCGCGTATGCCGTTGCGAATTTACTCGCGGGCCTCTCCACAGGCGTTGTCTGAGGCTGTGCGCGACGACACTCGATTAGGTGTTTTGGGGTTTGGTTTAACAAGAGATATGCCCCAGGGAACAAGACATGATCATGTGTCTTGGGGCCGCGTCGGAAGATCAAAAGTTCATGTTGTGTTTGTTCGGGTGACTGGCGTAATTGGCATCATGAATCCGTACTTTATCGCCGTCGGACAGGCATTTCTGGCAATTCTGCTGTTTGTGCAGCTTGGGCTCACGGGCTATGGTTTGTAACTTGTTTGGCCATGGACTTCTTCTTCTCGCGGACAAGCTGCCGCAGCTAACACTTTGGAAATCAAGCTACCAGCTTAGAAAATGGCCTTGAAGGAATCAAGCCGTCGAAGTCGATTCTGTTCATGCTCGGCAACACCGTCTGGTCGATCCTTGCTCTGGCGTTTATTTCCATCGCGCCGCTCGTGTTATCGTATGCGCTGCACAACCTCGTCGCGTTGCTGTTGCTGGCAGTCACGACGGTAGTGTGGCTGGGCGGCTCAATAGCTATCGCGTCGATACTTCGCGATCTTTTTGAGAATCGGAAGAGCATATACGCCATATCGCAGCCTATTGTTGCATTCAGCTTCTTCATCTGGGTGACGTTTGCCACTCTCATGTCGCTAGAGGTGGTCGGCCTGTTGAAAGGGGCGTACAGGAATGGCGAGCAGGAGATGATGGAGTTGCAGGAGAACGAAACGAGAAACGCGCTCCGATGACGGCTTGATCAGAAGCGTACTGCAAGATGGCACTGTAAGACAGGACTGTAAAATGGGCTGTTTCTTTTTCTTTTCATACATGTAGGCGCAAATGGTGGTTTTTTCTGTTTAATGTCCCAGATGCCAAAAAAGTAGACGGAAGAAGCATCTCCGCATCTTCTTTCCCGGGGCTGCGTGTTTCTCGAGCCTAGAGGCACGTGTTGCATACCATAGTCGGCGTGTCTAGTGCCAAAACTTGGCTCATAGCTTTACAAGTCACATCCTAACGGATGAGAGATCAACTATTACCATGCGATGTCTCCTCGGTATGTGGCAATGTCTCGGTAGTCGAAGCCTGTCCTGTTGGCGTTTGAAGTCAAAGGAACGTGGCCACTGGTTATCCGTCGATTCTATTTGATCCGGGCATGCACAACCCTGTTTTCTGCATTGGACGAATAAATAACGCTTGGCTGGGTGCTCAGGATTCTGAATCTGCGGCTCCGAGTGGTTCGGTATAAATCCTGCATCGCAGAGGGGAACGAGTACCATGACGATTAAATACTGATAGAGAATCGTCGTCAAACTCTTATACTTGGTACTGTGAACATATTCGCCGTGACATTGTTTGCATCTCACGACTCCACCTTCCTATAGTCAATTGTTTCCGTCTTGGGAACTATTCTATCCCCGTGTCAGTTTTGAATAACAGTACGGAAGTTCTCATAAAATAAGACTTGGTAATAATGGACATTACCGCCTCTATTGTGGCTTTTGGTATAAAGCGCAAGCCACCCAAAAAGACAAGATGCGTCTTGGCCCGGCCCGCAGGTGAAATGGCGCACTCGGTGTCAACGTCCGACTACTTAAGTAGGCAAATGGTCACGGTCCTTTCAGCCCGTAGAGGCAGATGCTTGGCATTGGCAACGGTCATGGGTAGATGTACATTTTTTCAAGATTTGCCTCGCAAAAAGTACTTATCTTGGCCCTTGGCGGCCGTCCGTCTCGGCGCACCGATGTCTTGAGTCAACGAAGCCAGACGACGAGACAGTCTAAGCACTTATCCATCACGTCTAGCTTGGCTTCGGTAGTTGGTCGCCACGGCAAAAGAATTGGCCCTTCCATCGCCTCCCGGCTTCTCCACAACCCGGTACACTCGAGGTTGTGTCACGTAGCAACCCAGGTCCGATTCCGTGTCGATGATGGAATTCATGTCTGGTGGCCTAGGGTCCCGACTTCTTTCGCAACCTCAACTCCTCCCTCGAAGCTAAAGACACCAACAACCAAAAACCAGCCCACCCAACCGGCTCGTCCACCTGCCTTTCGTAGGCTCCAACGCCCGTCACCTGACCATGATGCTGATACCGGAGAGGAGTAGATCGGCGGCAACTTGGTTGCGAGACAGACTCCACCGGGTTCCTCGAGCTGTTGGAAACAGATCAGCCATTGGCGAAGAGCATGGCGATTGGGCCGTCACTACTCGCGAGACAAATCGGGCCTGACTGGCCCACGGCGCCAGCCGAGCCTACAGATATTCTTATTCGGCAACCTTGTCCGTGGTGCGGGCGAGCGCCATGTTTGTCCATCTCGTCGAGCCTTCTTGGCACTCGAGTGGCCCTGAGACGCAGGAGTATATAGATGTCGAGACGACACCTCCCCACTCGCAGTTTCTCTCGTCGTCTACCTCTTCTTCTTGCCCTCGATGGCTTTTGGGAATATCACTTCTTGATTCTCGGCCGTCATCCTCGCCAAACATGGTGTTCAACGCCGTTCTCCTCGCCCTGGCCACCACGGCCCTGGCCGCACCCGCGTCCGACGTCACCACCTCGAAGCGCCAGGACATCAACACCGTCACCGACCAGCTCCTCTTCAGCTCGACCCTCGCTCAGTTTGAGGCTCGTCGCAACGCCGAGGACCCCCCCTCTCTGGACTGGTCCTCAGATGGCTGCACCAGGTCGCCAGACAACCCCTTTGGCTTCCCCTTCCTCCCTGCCTGCCACCGCCACGACCTTGGTTACCAAAACTACCGCCTTCAGCAGCGCTTCACAAGGGCTGCCAAAGACGGGATTGATTCCAACTTCAAGTCTGAGTATGTGGTCTCTTCTTGCTTCTTCTGCGAAAACCCACCCATCGCAACGTGCGTAGACAGACGGTGGCTGACGTGATGTGAAACAGCCTGTATTACCAGTGTCAGAGCGTCCCGGCGCGAGATGCTTGCGACGGACTCGCCAATGTCTACTACGAGGCTGTCAAGCAATTTGGAGGCGGTGATGCTACCAAGCGTGACAGAAGTGACTATGACAAGGCTGTTGCCGCTTACAACGCAGCAGTCAAGGAAGCCCAGGCGCAGGGCCTGCTTCCAGTTCTCGACTAATCTAGAAGGTTACTGGGAATCAAGAGATGGGTTACGAACCAAGATGGATCTAACGCGCGTGGCGCAAGGGTTGTACATATGCGGCACTGGATATCTGTATATAGTGTGCCTTATGAGCGAGTTTTATAGCATTCATTGACCCCCTTTCCGCATTGGCTACGCATACGACTACGTCACATACATTTGACACATTCATCATACGTGAAATGTCGGGAGGAGAGGCCGCGGTTCACTTTTGCAAGTAATTGGAACTTGTATGACGCAATAGGGTGCGCTGTTGGTTTTGATGCAAGACCTGACAAGTATTGACTATACTGGGCAATTCGCAGTTGCATTATTCACACCATGCCTTTTGAGTCCTGCTTCAGACGGGTTCGTTGCCTACGCCTCAACCGGTGTAGACCCAGGGAATAGGAAACGTTCCTTTACCCAACGGCTTGTCATCCTGCTTGACGTTCTTCAGCTGCGGCAATGTAAAAGGCGTAGTGTCGCTCAAGCTGTGTACGCGCCCGAGGAGCTTCTCCAATTGTCTAAAGGCAGACGTAGCTGCGTACTGCGGCCCCTCGTGGCCAGAAAGACCAGTCACGGCGACAACCAAGCCACGCTCGTGATGGGAAGTTCCCACCACACCCGTCTTGTCCGGCAGATCGGTGCCGTAGCCCCCCCTGCCTGTGCTGTATCGCGGGACGTAGAAGGGATCGGTGGGACGGGACTCGAATCCCAGCTTTCCACCCCACGTCATGTTCTGAACGGCAAGCAGGACGCCGTTCGCGGGAAGAATAAAGTCTGTGCCGCCCTGGACGAGGATGACATTCTTGGTCTTGTCAATGACATTGGGCAGCTCGTATTTGGACGGTGGGAGCGATTCGTCACGGTCGACAAAGGCCGTGTTGACGCACACGCTCCATTCGACCTGGAGAGGCGCGTGGATGGCCTTCTTGACGTCCTCCCGATTGAAGTAGGGGGCGTCACCCAAGGGATCGTAGAGATCTGGGCAGTGATCCAGAATGTTATAGATGTTGAAGCAGGGGTTGTCCTTTCTGACCTGCCGGTAGATGCTCGACCACAGGTCGCCGCACCCATCTTTGTAGGCAACGGTCCCGTTGGGAAGCCTCTGCTGCCAGGGAAGCAGGGAGGGCTGCTTTCCAGCCGGGGGATACACGTAGTACTTCTTGACGTAGTCTCTGTACCCGCAGCGCTCAGAAGTGTTGTGCAGCTCGGCCCGGAAGCGGTCGTCTAGGGGCATGAGATTGTAGTTTTGCTCGACAAACGTCTCGGCAATTGCCTCGGACTGGACATCCCCGTCGAAGCTGATGCCGTCAACTACCATCAGGCCCTTGAGATTGTAGTACTTGGTGTCGTTGGCATTGACAAAGTGGCTGGAGATGTAAGGGCCGTAGTATCCGCCATACGACTCACCAACCACGTACACCTTGTAGCCCTGCATGCTAAAGGTATCAATGAAGTTCTTCCAGAACCCCAGGAATTGTTTAGCCAGCTCATCTTCATTGTGGATGGTGGTATTTCCAGTCGAGAAGCCAACCGTCACGGGCTGCTCGATCCAAACGACGTTTGTAAGATGATGCCAGCTCCAAGGGTTCCGGACTGGCTTCAAGGTGCCGGGGCGCCAGACGAATGGGCCGTTCTCCTGGAGCAGACCGAGGAGAGACGAGCAGCCGGGCTGGGGTGTGTGTGTCTCAGTCAGACCTGGCGATGACAAAGAAGGGGGGGGGGGATATCTATTTCTTTTTTTTTTTTCTTTTGTCCCTCTTCCTTTTAAGGGGCGGGCGGGGAGAAGCGACTTACTCCGCCATTGAGCCAGATGGTTATCTCCTTCTTTTTCTTGTGCTCGTCATTGTCCGTAGGGAAGAACCAGAAGAAGAGGTTGTCTTTCTCGTCCTTGTTGTCGCTGATGGGCAAGAGTCCTGCGTACGACTCGCCAATATCAAAATTGACTTCTGGAAGCCCCGTACCATTGACTGCGAATTCTGTACCACGTACGTTAGCATCAGTGGTCAGTTTTGGTCACAGGTAGATGACATGTCCCTTTCCACGGCGCAGGAGACGGAGTCAAAGAGTCACACTCACTCTCGGTCTTGTTGTTCAGGAAGCGATGGGGAGCCGAGTCAGGGCTGGTCCGGGTATATACTGACGGAGGAGTGTGAGCCTCGCCGTAGTCGGACATGTCTGCGAAATCATCGCCGTGCAACTGCTGTAGGAGCTGGCGGTGGCTCTCGGAAGTGCGCGCTGCTGCGGTCGCAACCAGGAGTCCCAACAGGGACAGCATCAATTGGTTCTTCATCATGTGTAGCTCGGTTGAGACCGAGAGATGCTTGAGTCGGCTTGGAAAGGACTCTCAACCATGGATGGCATTTATATGCCGTGGACGACATGGAGCTTAGTAAAATTCTCCTCTTTCGTGACGCCCGTGCCTCCGCGTTTGGATTCTGCGCGACTCCCGACGGAATATCGTCATTTGTCGGAGCGAAGGGTCGGCCACCCGGGCACCTCTTTGGGCAGCCGGTAACTCACGCATTGTAATACGAGCTGCTTTCCTCTTGTCTTGTTGATGGACGCTTGCCATTGCCGGATTCGCCGTTGCATCGGGGTGCATGGCGGTCAAGCCGCAATGCGAGAGAGTCTGCAGTACGGAGTATGCACCACTGGAAAGCTACGCTGAGTTGCCTCGGAAGTGGATGTCGAGATTGAGCACTTGCCTATTCGAGTATGTGCCTGATGGAGAAGGATTTGCAAATTTCAAAAAGTTCCCTCTTTCTTTTGGTTACGCAGCAGTTGGCAGACACCGAGACGGGCCCTACCGCATGACGCAATACACCAAGCCGATGGTAATAGAGTCTAATGACGCGCGAAAGAGCAGCAATGAGCCCATTGTTGTAGAGTCTGGTCGCAATTGGTGCGCACAAGCATATCCTACAGTCCTTTAATTAAAGCATACATGATTGGGAACAAGACGGCACACGCATGGCAAAAGATAGCGAACTCCCACCGGGGTTAGTATGAGTCATTGATTGGACAAATGGCCCGGAGAAGGCGTATAGAAATGCACGTTGTAGCAGCTAATCCCTTTGCAGCGATCGACAACGAGCTCAAGCTCTTCAAGTCACAGTTTGTGGTCCAATCAACCGCCTTGCTGTAGCCGTGAGAGGCGGCGTCACGTCGCCGGTTTGGGCGGCCACCTTGGGACAACCTTTATTACAGCAATTCACATTTCTTAGGCTCTTCATGGCCAGGTTGGAGCGTGACCCATCGACATCCCAAGGCGCGCAAAGCAGTCGAGACAACGGCCTAAATAAGAGCTTGGGGGGCTCCTATGGGATGCCCCATCTGTTCCTCTCCAACATCATCGAGTTTTCCGTTCCAAAGCCTCCCTCATCTCCTTTACAGGAGCTGTTCAATCTTGCACTGCACCATGACTTTATGACGGGAAGACACTTTCTGTCAATCGCAATCTGGGTACCTACCAAACCTGCTGATGATAGCAGGGTGTTGGCAGCCTCACGCAGGGCCCTGGACATGTCAACACCCAACCTGACCTCTTGAGCGTCAGTGATGGGCGGCCTCTTCTTCAGGTCCTTCGGACCGAAGAAGGAGAAGAACATGAAGATGCATTAGGTTTTCAGAAGATGGCTGCCATGAGCATCAAGATGTCGCTGTCTGCGACAACAATACTGGTCCCATCAACGAGATGGACATCGGCGACGACAACCTTGATGTCGGCGATGACGCTACTGACGCCGGCCATAGCGAAATGGACATTATTATTCACGATACTGATGCCAGCGATAACAAATCAGATTGCGAAGACAACGATATGGATGCCGGGAACAGCAAGATGGAAATTGACGTTGACCATGTCAACGCCAGCGACGGCAAGATCGTGAGCGGCGGTAAGAAATGGGTCTATGTTCCTGCTACGCCTGATGGCGCCATGGACGTTTTTGTTGAGGACGGGGCAGAGTACAGCTATAACATGGGGGCTGAGGAAACCCAGACGCTCGGCCAGCACGAGGACATGGATGCCATCCCCAGCGCCATGACAAACGGCACCGCCACAAACGAAAAATCTGCCAACAACGGGAAACGTATTGTCAACAAACGAAAGCGAACTGCTTCAGCACCCGCGCCCGCAAAGAGACTGAAGTGTTTTGGCCAGGTCAACATTACGGCAACACGGGCACGTGTACAATACGACGGCAAAGTGTGCGAGTATACGTGGCAGCGCAATACTGTTGATGGGCGGCGTTGGGTCAGACACCCAGGAGGCGAACGAGAGGTTTACGGCGAATATCTACTGGTTCATGGTCCCAACATGTCAATCAAGGTCATGGTGAAGACAACCTGGTTGCCAATCACGGTGGAATGGGATATAGAGAAAGGGGTCTATCAGGGGGAGGAGAGCATAGGAGGCAGGATTCTGACGGTTGAAGAAACGGCAACATGGGATGCTATGAATGTGGTGGAAGGCACGCACGTCGGTTTTATTCGTCTCCTCCTCCTTTTTATAGGTCTCATAAGCCCAGTGGACAGCCATCACCAGCATTAATCCGAAGGCCGTCCATGTGAGTCCAGCGAACTTTTGGCCGGTCGACATCGATAGACGGAAGCGCTGACCAAGACTGATGATTTTTCCCGGCGCCATTGCGCACAATACTGGGTATCCGTGGACCTTTGACACCTACCTTGGTGGTAGTCCTCCATGAAGCCGGGGGTTCTTGCCAGCTGTTAGGGACCGCCCAGCTCTGCCGGTCGGGTCGCTATCTACGTGGGACATGATGAACTTGGCCGCAGACAACCACCTGCAGTTGACATGTATATGCGCTTTTGCCGCGAGCAATTCCCGGAACATATCGCTAGCCTTATCCATCATGTACGTAGCGAGATTAAGGGTCATGGTGGGAGCATGTGCATCTTTCCCACTTGGCCATCTTCCCGCACGACCATTGTGAAGCCGCCAGGGCCGCCATAGTGGCTAGTGGTTGCGGACCGCATCGGGTAAGCCTCGCATCTCCCGAGAAATTAGTTAGTTAGTTTCGAAAAGGGTTCGTCGGGAACGTTCGTGGCTTTATGCTGTGATTGGCCGCCTTATCCGGCCTGGTGCCCTGCTAGGTCGTCCTTTGTGGCTACTACTTCGTACTCCGTCGTCTGACTCAACTTGAGAATTATTAGCGTTGGTTCTTTCTGGTAGTCAGCCGCCTAGCGAATCACCCTCCGGCAGTTGACCCGCAGCCACCCCGCGGAATAGATAGATGCTCGGATCCGCTGGGAGATCGTGGGAAAGTCATCGGGTACCACGGAATGGTAAAGACGTGCACAAACTACCCCGCATACATGATAGACATGATAGAGCCACTGACGCCCAGCATCTTGGATGGCCTTCAAAGCCTTGGCGGCTTGGCGCCGGCTGCTTCGAGGTTGTTGGTGAGCCGCGTCTTTGGGTGGATTGATTGGGTCCTCAATGGCAAATGCTACGGTACACCCAACGGGCACGATTCATCCAGACTGCGATCAAAAGTTGCCTCGAGGGTGCCATCTCGGCCGCCAACGGCGAAATCTAACTGCTAGCAACATGGCTTTGTGAAGCAGGCTTTACACGACAATACCCCAGGTGCCACTTGGCACACTCCTCTGCCTTGGGCATGCTTTTCCATCTCCAGCGCAGACTCCCCAATGTTGTTTATTCCAAGATGGCTACCTAACGGGACAGAACTCACCGCATCATTCGCCTGGATGACAAGACCATTGTGGAAGTCTGCAGTCTTCTGGCCTCGTCTGACCGATATTTGTTTCCAAAAGGAGCCGGGCAATGATTAGTCGGCGACTCTCACAGTTGGTCAATTTGTTGGCTCCGAATCCGGGACAGCCACAGCGATCGTTATCCAACAACACACCATCATCACATGCAGCTCTTCAAAAAAGGCCCGAAGCGCCCAGCAGTGCGAACCACGTATGAAGAGTGATAGAGAACCGGGCCTCGCTTCCAACCTGGCAAGGGTTTGATTGATGATCTCCCTTGCTCGTCGCTCACACCTCGATCCCCAGATCAGAGGAGCCGCCAAATACGTAGTTGACGCGTGCCTGTATGCTTGGATACCAGGAACAACACGACGCAGTTGCATGACCAAAATATCTCGGTTACGGCTGCCCACCTCATCCCAATGGGAATGGTCCGATGAGCAAGTCAAGTCGATAAAGCTGGGCGCATACGGTGCAAATCCAAGGCTACTGGTGGCTACGTATATAGCCTGGAGCCTGGTTCGGCCTACGCGGAACCGCTGTCCGAGTTCAGCTGCGCACTGTCGATGCGACCTTGTTGCAGCAGTTGCTTCAAGTGGACGAATCAGGGGAGAGCGGTGGTGTTGTTGGTGAGTTGAGCCTTTGCATCTGTGTTCTCAACAGAACAGCTCGGGGTTACCGTATCCAGAACTGCTGCTTCGCGTGGCATATCTGTTCTCCGGGGCGCTGGATCCTGAAGTATAAAGATGAGGCGAAGAGCATGGAAAGACGTCTCCTTTCTCCTGCATAACTTCAGCTTCTCTTACGACAAACAAGTCCTTCTCTTCAGGCAAACAATCTCCTCGCCCGTCTCTTGATATGGCCGCGGTTGTAAACCACGTTTGCTATAACAACCTCCCTTCGTTGGAGGAGGCTGACATGTCCCGTCAAGTACTTGCGGTCATTACACCCGTCTCATCCATGAAGCTGACCATTCCAACAATATAGGCTCTATCTATTGATGTTATCAATGGACCGATTCGCGACGCCTTCCTCAAGCATGCCGCTCACCTGACCTTCTGTCTTTACCTCCAGCACCGCCATCATACCGTCGCTGCAAATGAGGCGGTGGTTAAGGTCGAAGGCACCGCACACCTCATGGACGACCAGGCCATGAACGACATTGTTTCCTTTGGAAACAAGGTCGTTCCGACGACATGGATGACCTCCGGTGGCAGGTTGCTTCCCATGGAGTTCGCTGCCGTCCCTGCTCTGTGAGCCATCTCTCTTCGGTATATTCTCGTTGTATGATCCAACTGACACCCTATCAGGGCCGCCACTCCCACCCCCTCGGCTGCGTTTGTGCAAGAACTTCTCTCTGTTCTTGCCAGTAATGGATGCGAAGGACTGTTTGGCATTGACACACTCGCTAAAAATAACTGGTCCGAAATGAAGATTGGCGATGCGAGCGTTGTCGTCCCTAGCAATGGTAGCGAGACTTATAACCAGGACAAGTTCATCTCCGTCGCCTTTGCCTTCGACAAGGAAAAGCCGGAGTTCAAGGTCCATGGCAAATGCGGCAAGGACCACAAGCACTCGTCGAAGCCTAAATAAGGCTCTAGTGCCGACCCACTGTGTGCCTGGCTGGTGGCACGGTCCGTGGGGGCGCACGGACCACCACTGCTAGGTTGGATCGTTTATATAGGTCGGCAGCGCCAACCAATTTTTTTCTAGCCCTGCTAACTTATCAAATCTACTTTTATCAAATCTCCCGCCTCGCCATGCCATTCCGTGATCATTGGCCCAAGATGCCTGATGGCCGCGACTTTGATGGCCAGCATCTGCTCACCCTAGTCCGTAGTGGTAATAGTCCGTTCCATGACACATGGGATGTAAACCTTCTCATTCAGGAAATCGAGGAGAATCTCTGTGCCCGGGTGATTGACATTCCGTGCGTTTCCAACGGCTCCAACAATTATGTAAGTCGTGGTCGAGCGCCATCCGTCCCATCACACACCCGATGCTTACATGAGGCCGGATGGTAAAAGGGATTTCACCTCAAGTTGTCTAACGGAATGGACGTTGTAGCACGCTTAGCACGCGGCGATGTCAACATGCCTGATTATGAGGGCTTCCCGATTCATGTGCAAGTTCCCGAGGTCAAGTTCGAGACCGAGGTGTATGAGCTCCTGCAGTCAGAGCCGGATATTTTGGCTTCTCGTCTGCTTTATTATCGCGTCCCCGTGCAGCATGAGGGCCCTAAGCTTGATCGTCCCAAAGACATCGCGGGCCGGCGCTTGCTTGTGTTCCAAAGAGCTGAGGGAGAGAATAATGTGTGGAGCGCCCTCAGCCCGGCTCAGAAGGTACGGGCGTATACTGATGCTGTTATTTCCTTCATATGCTGACTTTCTCTTCCAGTCTTGCCTTCTTTCTCAGGCAGCTCACATGCGCGCATCGCTGTACAAATTCCAAGTCCCACCCGCGTTCGCTTCTGCCTGGCTCCGCGAACGCCTTTTTGAGCAAAAGCCGGAATCATTTCCTATTCCTGTTGCTCCTACTCGCGAGTTCTGCGTCGCCCTCTTTACCTCCAAGGTCGAAGCGACCATCAAGAGCGTGGGGGACATGATTGGGTGGGAGGATGACCATAACACGGTCGGTCCAGTTGCCGCAGCGGCCAAGCAGTCACTCCTTCGCCTCATCCCACACATAATGCCTGCAGGCGACGAGGAGAAGCTCTTGTACCGCTTCGTCATTGACCACGGCGACTTTGGCGTTCACAACATCTCGATTGCAATGGATGCGAACGGCCAACCTCTTGCGACGTCCTTGTTCGACTGGGAGACCGGGTGCATCGTGCCAGCCATCCTGTCCGACCCGTTGATGGCCGTGACCGTCGATTTGGTGGCTGATGAAGATGCGGCGCCCGCCTTGACCCGCTTGCCTCGCACCGTAACCGCGGACGAGCTGGAGCGGATAGCGACATGGCCAAGGCTGTACCTTGAGGTTCGTTCTTTCGTTTAAACAGTTGCCGTCCTAATGCATTACAAAGTGTGGTTAAACAGATATTTACAGGCCCTCTTCCTCGAAGCGCCGGACTACAAGCGCACTATCCGGGCGGGCAAGGACGCGCGCCACCTCTGGTTCGCACTACGAGACTGGCGCGGCGACGATCCCGAGGACTATTTCGGCCATCTGGGAGCCTGGGCTGAGAAAAGGATAAAGGAGCTTGGTGTGAATCGAGAAGTCGACTAATGCGGTGGAGATGGCAGTCGTGAACAACCCTCTCAAGGCAATCAACAAGCTATCTCTAGAGACCGGCTTCAACTTTGTTAATAGATCAAAGTTGCCCTACTTGGGTGCATGTCTTTCTCCGGACTCCAACTTGACATGTTCCACATGGCCCGGGCCAAAACATAAAACGCACCCGGGAAGGCTCCCACTGTGCGCCCCAGTCTAGGAGAAGCCAGTCCTTCCATTTCTCGACAATGTCCTCAAACTCGTACATCTCATTGTCCCTGGAGGGGGTGGTGAGTCCTGCTTGATTGTCCTTGGTCGACGCGGCGGCAGGGCCTTCAGCTGGACCGATGTGGAGTTGCGATGCTTTGGCCGAGTCGGAGCCGCCCTGTGTCGATTACCTAGGTCGAGAGGATTGTTGTTTCCGGATAGGACCGAATATCTATCTTCTCTATTCCTCAAAGATGTCCTTGCTCATGTCCGCCTCACATGTCGAGGCCTGGTTCACGCTGCTGCGAGGTGGATGCTTGAGCGGGACGGCATATCCTGGACAACCGTACCACAGAGCAGGCAGCACTGGAATGGACGGCACGAATCCGGCCAGTGGATTTGGACATGGGTGACAGCCTCGAGCCACAGAAACAAAGTATGGCTTTGGCGACAGGTTGTTGAGTGAACTCTGGGGAAGATGGAGACGTGGACAGGGAAGGGGAGTCCGAGAAGACCGTTGCTCCCCTCCGTCTTTTAGGTGACGGCGTCCGGGAAAAGTGGCTACCACACCGGCTTCGTCATCTTTCGGGCCGAGTCGAAGGCCGTGCGATATCATGGTGTTTGGCAGAGACGTAACCCCCAGTCCGGAGCGGTGGCCGTTCAACCAGTAGTGGTTTTCTTAGAAAAAGCCAACACGCCTGAATAGCTTGAAACTTCGGGAAAACCCTTTGTCCCCTTTTACGTTGTTATTTACTACTCGTGTGCATATATGGCAGGGGTACAAAAATCCAAAGCACTACAAAAGGCCAATTATTCGTCACACGTACGATTTCTACACCGACGCCAAAAATGGCAACGAACGACGGTCTGAGAAGCCGGAAGGGGTTCAGAAGCCACAACACTGGTACAACGCTGCAGAAATGTCAAAGCCGGCGGAGATGGCTGTCGACCCTACCAGCTGGAGCAACGTTGACCATTCAGAGCCCGGAACTGCTTCCATCGTTGCCCACGTTGGCATGATGGACGGTTGTCGAGAACTCGGCTCGTTCCTGATGCGGGCAGAATTGACGGTCAGCTGCGGAGCGTGGGTGGATTGATGGAAACAAGAGGCAGACGGTGACTCTGGCGAATATATAAGTCACTGCCGTGGCCGTCAAGGTCCTCATCGCACGACTAGACGAGCGCGGCAGCAAAGGATGCTCCGTCTCAGCCTTGGCCAGCTACACCCAGCGTGCCGGGAGCAAGAGCCTGAGCAAGAACAACATTGCCCAAGCACTCAAGTTCCCGGTTCGTCTCACCGGAGACTTGACGCAGCCTCTCCACAACGAGGCTTACCAGGTCGGCGGCACCAATATCAAGGTGACCTTTGATGGATACCAGGACAATCTGCACTCTGACTGAAACACGTATATCCCCAAGAAGCTTGTCGGCGGCGGCGCCTTGATGGATGTGCAGAGCTGGGCCAACGATTTGATACGGCAGATTACCTCTGGGAGCTACCAATCTCAGGCGGCAGACTGGATCAGGGGAGATGATGTGGCCGACGCCATTGCGACGGCGACCAGATGGGCTTCGGAGGCCAATACCCTTGTTTGCTCCGTCGTGATGCGCAATGGCTCCGCGGTTTTACAGCAGGGCGACTTGTATCCCAAGTACTACGACGCTGTCATTGACACCGTCGAGGTCCAGATCGCCAAGGGAGGGTACCGTCTCGGGAACTGGCTCAACAACATCTACAAGTCTACCGTGGCCAAGCGGAAAGTTTGGGGCGCAGAGGTCAAGCCTGCCGAGCTGCCAGACCTAATGGGTTACGATTTCCTCCCAGAGCCTCGCCCTCTGAGCCGTGCTCAGCTTGCACGGGCTGCCATGGAGGGCGATTGCCGTGGGAAGGGACGCGAGGGCCACAAGCATTAGGCGTTTTTGTTGAATCAAGGTTTCGTCATGACTTTGTGTACGTGCTCTGCTAGTTTGTCTACCAAACTCGGGCCCATCTTGGTCCGTCTCCCTCTGTGCCTCAGCTGCTCAATCCTTGATTTGATTGACAGTTTCCACGAGAGAGACCAGTCTCCCGTCCTCGGCAACGACTCCAAACATGAACGTCTCGGATTTCAAAACCGTACCGTCTTCCAGTGTTGTTAGCCCAATGTGTCTGTCGGCCACCTGGGGCCCGTCGCGGAGGAATTGGGTAATGGTAAGAGTGACTTTGGGCATATTCTGGCGTAGCCAGCGCATGTGGGACACAAACGCCGCAAAGTCGCGCGTGCCGTCCTGGTCTCGCTGAGTAAAGTTGGGAGCAAGCAATTTGGTTAAATCCTTTTCTGTGTCTTCCGGCTTGCCGGAAAATAGACTGACCAAGGCGGCTTGGTAGGTGTCCCTGTGGTCGGTGAATGTGGTTCGGGAGGCCATTGTCGAAGTGTAGTATGACAAGATTGAGAGTGTTCTTGGTCTCTATTCTATACGGGCGGCTTTCCAAATGCTTCTTGTCAAGCACACTGGCCGTCAAGCCATGGATTTTATATTCTGGGCCCTTTGTCGTGGAAACTGGTGCCTGGAAGAGGCCCGGGGATGGTTCTGATGCTGCCTGGCCAGTCTATATTAATTGGGCTCGTATTTTCCGCTGTAGGCATCCATCGCAGGCACGAGCTTTCCATTTCCCCCATTACGCATCGCAAAATACCGGGCAGTGTGCGGGTTCCGAGCAGGAGGCCTAGTCATCATTCATGTCACCACCAAACCATTAGTACCCTTTGGACCCTTCTAGTTCGCCATGGCTTCATAGTGATTGCCTATCCGTCGCATGGCGCGAGGTTCCGCCCTCCTTGGCCCTCGTTGTCGCTTTACCATAGGGCTGACAAAAGCGGCAGTGGATAGTTTCTTCAATTTACAATATCCAAACGGAGGTTTTTGGTCTGTACGATATAGCTTCCCTTGTACAAGCCGGCATCGATATCCGAAGCCCCCGGAAATAAGCGGCTGGGTGACGCGAATCATCTTGGCTGCGCCACCAACCTTGGACGGTTCAGTCACACACACATCTTACGACCTGATTGATGGGAATGCTGCCGCCAGGTAGCAAAGCATAACACGTACGGAGTAAAAAAAAGGGCCGCAGATGGTGGCTTGCTCTCCACATTCGGCGGAACCGAGCCAAATCTGACATGCGACGCCTTCCCCTGTGTGGCAGGCGTTTCGGCGCTGTTTCTCACGATTCCGCATCATTGGCCAGATGGCTTCGCTGATAATACATGTGTTGGGACTACGTATGGAGTAGCTTTGTGATTCCCACCGCGTCCTCAAAAGGGCACACATGTCACGGGCGTCACTCCTGGGCTATACAGGCTCAGAAATGGGCTTGTGTGACCTGGCTGCCTCCCAATATACTCTGATAAGTACAGAATCTCGGGGATTTTCTCGATTCCTTCCACATTAGTATTCCCTTGTCGTGATTCTCAAATAAGTTGTCGCTATCCCGCCGCTAATTCCCAGCCTCCTTGAAACCAGCCTCGGGTACTGAGAGACATCACATTGCTCAAGCCTTGGCGCAAACACACCTGGCCCCGTCGCAATACTTGCTAAAAAGGGCAGGGGGAGATTGATTGTACCCATGGTGTTTAGTGGACGGCCCTCCACGGCATGTCTCTCATGTCGACAGAGGAGGTTAAGAGTAAGCCCTGCGCCGTCACCCTCAGGAGCCTGCAGAACGCAGGACCCCTTGCGTCTCCCATACACGGCATTGGATGAGGGTAATTTGAAGGCGGCAAAGACACCATCTAACCCATCGTGACATCTAGTGTGACCGAGTGCCCACGGGATGCTCGCCATGCAAGCGCAAAGGAATAGAATGTTCCGGATACCGGGATCCATCCGCTTTACGAGTCCGAGATGAGACGAGCCGCACGACTCGCAAGTTTGCAAAGCCTCCAACGAAAAGGAAACCACTACAGCATATACCAGAGCCGGAGCTTGGTGCCGAACACCCCGTTGAGCATTCAACATGGCCGTTCGGTCGACTCGTGAGCTCCCTGATGGGAGATCCCTCGTATCCTTTGCGGCAAAACCTACAGGAAGCCTCCATGGCGTACTTCCTGACGTCCTACATCACTGCTACCCCTTTCCAAAGATACCTGCCTTCATTGTGCCTTGCCGATGCAGACCCGGAAGACGCATGCTCCGTCACCGTCTCGGCCACGGCGCTGGCTGCGTATTCACGGCGCGTCCGATCCGCCGAATATCTCGAATACGCAAGGCAAAAGTACGCAGTAGCACTGACTCGAGTCAACGAGTTGTTGTCCAACCCTGAAGCCGCGGTCCTCGACAGAACACTCGTCTCCGTCTTGGTGCTCGGCTTGTTCGAGGCCATTGTCTTTGAGGCCGGCAAGTCGCCCACGAGCTGGACGGCACACACTGTCGGTGCCATGCAGCTCCTGAGATTGCGAGGACCGCAGCAGTTCAAGTCCGCCCTCTCCCGTAAGATGGTTTCCCACGCCAGCAACAACATCAAAACTAGTTGCATTCAAAGATCGATCCCGGTGCCGGACGACTTCGTCGCGTTGGACAAGCAGCTCACACTGCTGCACGACCCCAACGATCCCTCTGTCAAGCTGGCGCCCATGGTTCGGCAGATTGCTTCCATCAAGGCAAGGGCTATGGATGGCCCTGATTGCAATCTAGTCCACGAGGCCCTGGAACTAGACCGGGGAATCGTCGCCTTCTCCAAGGAGTGTCCCGCTTGGATGTCGTATACGGTCGAGCCCAGTCCTCATTCCCCTGACTGGGCGTATGCCGGAGTCTGCCATCGTTATCCCAGCGCGCATGTCGCCAAGCTATGGAACACTGTTCGGCTTCTTAGAATTTTTTTAGCCGTCTTGATAAGGCAACTCGCCGCCGGGCAGCTGGATCCTGACATGTCTCGGCTTCGTTTGCCAGATGGCGAAAGCAGCCTCGCCGATTACTTGTCCGGGCTTCAGCGATACGCGAGAGAAAACATGAAGGCCATTACAACGGAGGTTCTCGCCAGCATCCCCAGTTTCATGGAGATGGACGATTTTGGGCGACGATTCGCGCCTTCGGGCAGGAGTCTGGCCTGGCCCCTGAGTATCATTGAGAATACCGACATGTGCGGGGAGGCGGCCAGGGAGCATGCCTACAAGAACTTGGAAATGCTCGCTGGGGATCTGAACATGCCTCAGGCTGTGCATCCATCACGATTTTCGGGTATCAGAGAAGACTGGTGAGTGACCACAAGTCGATTTCATGTCTGGAAAATCCATAGTGTTGCTAAATTGTCTCTCCTCTAGGATGCACCTATTCCACCTCGGATAATACCAAGAAGCAGAGGACGTTAGAGCTGTCAATTTATACGACTCGGTATACGAAGAAGGTTTTGGAATCTTTGCAAGTACGACGGCCCCGGGACAGGACGGGGTGTCTGGTGGAATACTAGATTCATGGGTGACTGTGTAGTTGAGTCATCTTTTTTTCCTTCTTCACAGATGCTCCTTTGCTGGCTGTCGGGACAATTTGTTGCACAGCCTCGTATTGAATAGACGTGTCAAAACGGAACATGGCTTCCATTCATCCTCTTCAAACACCTCGGCTGTCCTGGGTCCTGGTCCTGGTCCTGGTCCTCAGGCAAATGCCGTTGGGCACATGGGACACCCTTTTCTCCCGTGGGGTAAAAATAATCTGTGCGTGTTTGTACTAAAGAGGATGGCAAGTGTCGTTCAATAAGCGTACAAGTCCATCTAGCATTTGGTAGAATCTGTTCTTGTCAAACGCTTATACTTGCCGACCTTCTCCGTGTCACATTGAGATGGCCGCGCTGTTAACGCCGGCTAACACAAACAGGTCAAGCTCAAGAGGCCAGTATCCATTGGCAGGCGGTTCTTCCCTGTCGTCCTAAATGACGCCATTTTGTCTTGGGCCTGCTTTCCATGGCGGTCGCACCAAGACCCCAACAAAGGTCTCGTCAAACCGTATTCCCGACACAAGCAAGACTTCCCAAATCCGTCCGAGTGCCTGTCTCTCATTGGCTTGTGCGTTTTCAAACTACGAATATGTGATCGGTCGCAGTCGGGGTCGTGTCTCTCGTCAAGAACGCTGGTTGGGTCGTCGGTGGAGGTCATCAGGCAATGATCGACGAGGTGCTTGATATTCGAAAGCTTGGCAGGGCCGACGGGCTCAAAAGCCACAGCCCGTTTATTCATCAAGCAGTTGTTGACGATTTTGGTATGGCGGCGCGGTGCTGCAGTAAATAATACTAGGTCACCACGACTGTCAACTCCAGCCTGCACATGTGCGCCGAGATGGGAGCAATATACAGAGCACACGGGCCCTACTTACCACCATGGAAGACCAGTTTCAACGTTCTTGATGGCCGGCTCCAAAGACGGGGCGGGGCAATAGCACTCCTGACGCAGTTGGATGGAACGGCAATTAGGCGTCGATAGTTTGTGTAACATTCCTCCCATAATAAGGGATGGACACGGAGGAACGGCACCTGGCCAGCAGGGACCGAGGGGACCAACGTCTTGCAAGCCAAAAGCACATTGATATTACAAGCGCAGAGGGTTCAACATCGGTAGTGTTCTGTATCCACGAGAGAAGGAGGCGGCCACGGCAGACCCAGACAGTGGCGGTGGTGAAGCAAGATTGGTAAAAGACGCAAAGCCGTTGGAGATGACGAGCTCAGCCTGCCCGACGGCCCGTCTACGTCTGCGCATGACCATTTCGCCCCTCTTCTCTGCGTCTGGATAGTATTGCGAAACTGTCTCGTGCATTTGAAGCTCCATCACTCCGTAGTTCCCGGGGCAGTTGGGGCGCCTATCGAGGAGCAAGCCCGATATTACATGCATCACTTCCGCAACTTGATTTCGGCTTTGGCCAGACTTGGGCCATACATACAACCCCCCTTC